TAACCCCTTAGTCAAACTGGGATGGAATGGAATGGAAACGTAATGACAATCGGTAGCAAGGAGTCACGAGAGAAGGGGCTAGAAATGGGAAACCTGGGGATCAGGGTTAAAGGATGGGCGGGAAGAGCCGCAAGACGGGTTTTACAGACCAGGTGCCTTGCTAAGGGTGACGATGAAAGGGGGCCAGCAACAGTGAATCTTCCACAGTTGAATGGGATCGGCAGCTAGACGGTTAGAGGGCGTGGATAGAACCAGGCGGCCCTTAGAAGGCTGAAGAGGCAGGTCTAGCGGGTTGGGAGGGGGTCTGCAGGGTGGGTTCAAGGACCTGTCACCCGCTTCAGAAAAAGGTTTTGGACTGGCGGGCAAAACACTGCTTTGAATCTGCTAGAATCAGGCTCCAAGCTAGAACAGGCTCCAAGTAGATCGTCAGATTAGCAAGCAACTCAGAAAGTTGGACAGTTTTACCACCCTACATAGGTGATGGGCAGATGGTCTATGCAGCAGGTTGTCATCACCGTCATATGACTAAGCAATCAACAAATTGAATTACAATGTTCAGGGACGCTGGACCCTCTTTCCAGCAGCAGGTGCTGCTCCCCGCTAATAGATGGAGCCTTCCCGAGAGTGTTACCGTCTTCACCCGAATAGAACGCCCGGTCCTTATAGTTGTATTTGGCACAAGTTTCGGTCTAGATGCAGCGATCATTACCGGTCGTTCTAATCGGTTGAAGACAGTAGTGGTGTGTTATGAACCTGGTTGGTTGTTGTCAGATTGACCAACACTCACACACATAGACTTCCAAGTATGCCCATACATACATGGAAGCAAGGGGAGAGGATGGGAGTATCGCACCACACAGAGAGAGATAAACACAGCGGAAGACTTGTTCATGCGATATGACAGAGAACACTGAAAATGCACTTCGCTCCACGGAATCCTCACAACCAGTCACAAAAGAAAACCGAGTAGATCACATCCAAGAAACAATGAAGCAATGACAGTTCAAACCCAATATTAACTCTGTTTATTAAACTCACAGTCTTGAATTGTCAAAATAACCCCAGAACTATGGTGTGTTGCTCATAAATGAGCAGCGCTTCACTCCCCACACCCTGAGTAACCGCCAACTCACCCCTGAGCCCCTGAAACAACCAGCATCACCCAGATACTACTCCCAGAGGGAAGTGCCACCCTGAAACAGGCCTCTGAGGCCAAGCGCTTCTCAGAGAATGAAGAAGAAGACCAGCGCCACAATGTCTAATAATGATGAAGTGTCGGATGACTTCCCGGGTGGAAGTCTGCAGCAATGCCACCTCTCCTGACAAGATATTTGAGGAAGAAGTTGCAGCTATGGCTGCAGCGCCACACACCCTGTAACCCTACTCCTGAGGAGGGTTCAGTAGGGCACCAACTTCTCCTGACTCCAACAGACTTCAAATAGCTCGGACCTCTGGCAGCCCCGCGTGTTGTCACAGTACAGCATCAGTCCCAGCTATGGGTGACACTCCGCAGCTCCAACTATAGTCGTCTTCTCCAACGTTGAAGTTGTCTCCACGTCCAGTTCAAGCGTTGTGCAGCCGCGATGTCCACGGTACTCACTGCCAAAAGCCTTGAACCGATGTCCTCCTCCTAACTATGACCTACACTAGCCTAGACTCGACCTAGACCGGACTGACTGGACCGATCGGTACCGTTTCAGTTTCGGCCTCTAGGGCCTGTCCCTACCCGGCTATAAGCTATAGGACCGTCTATTAGCTTAGGCCCGTAGGGCCTGTCTGTCCTAGAGGTAGTCCGGGCCTGCTATTCGCAGTTAGGGTAGTTGTAGGTAATTTCAATTAGTATGGACTTGTGTTTCCCCGAATTTACAGATATGTCCCTCAAGGATTTTCCCTATAGGTAGGTCTCTCGATTAGCCCTCAGCCAAACAAAATTATGAATCTATCCTACCTATAGTACACCCTCAACAAGAGAGGCTACAGGCGACCAAAAAAAACAACAAGTCATTGCAGACCTACCCTCCCTCGGAGCGAGGACCTCCGAGCCAGGGGCGTGGGTGTGCAAAGCGTCGAACGGATTCTCCCTTCCGCGCTGCCTCATATTTGAGGACAACAGACTTAGCAGTCTTAAGAAGTTCCTTGCGAGTAAACCAACGATCTTCAGTATGCGGCTGGTAGGAAAACTTTACAAGGTATTCTTTGTCTAGGCCTGTACCACTCTCATCCTCAATTGATTCCACCTCATATCCCTTACCAGGGATCGGGGGACCAAACCGAGGAGGCCTGCCTGGGAATGCATCAGCTGCCGTGAATGGCAACAACTTAGATGCATGGAAGACAGGGTAGGTTTGTAGATGCAGAGGAACAACCATTGTATAGGATGGTCCAAAAGGATCAACCCCCACTGTATCTTAGACCTGTCGTGGATTGTGACAACACTATCACTAGGTTGAGATGGTTAAAGGCGATGTCCACAAGACAACCTTCAAGACCAGATATAGTACCTATGAGTACCTGGTCATGCCATTCGGTCTTTGCAATGCCACAGGCACCTTCCAAACAGAGATGCATCGCATACCTAGGCCTTACCTGGACAAGTTCGTAGTTGTCTATCTGGATGATATCCTGATATCCAGTAGCTCCGTCCAGGAGCATGCGCAACAGCTGGCTCTGGTCCTCCAGGCCTTACATGATAACCAATATAAGATTAACAGGGAGAAGTCCTCTTTTGGAGTTCCCTCTGTGGTCTATCTGGTCATATTATTTATGAAGAGGGGTTGGCTCCTGAGGCAATGAAAGTTGTTGCTGTTCAGGACTGGCCGAAGTCTGCTAACATTTGTGATGTCCGGTCTTTCTTGGGTCTTCCATCTTACTACAGGAAGTTCATTAAGAACTCCTCAATTGCAGCACCCCCGACTGACGTCACAAAGAAAGACACTTCCTTTCTCTGGACATCAGAGTGTCAGGAGGCTTTCACATGTCTCAAGGAGGGCTTGATTCGTGCCCCTGTTTTGAAGTTACTTGATCGTACCTTACCTTTTGTGCTCACCACTGATGCTAGTCAGTATGGTGTAGGGGCGGTACTTCAGCGGGATGATGGGAATGGTCTGCAGCCTATCGAGTATATGAGCAAGAAAATCAAGACAAAGAAGTTGCGGCACTCTGCCTATGAGAACGAGCTTTATGGTCTTGTGTCAGCGCTCAGGGGCAGGCACTTCAAGATCTTCTCAGATCACTCCCCCCTTCAGTGGATGAAGTCCCAGGGAGAATTGAATGACAGGCTTGCTTGCTATATTCAGTTCATTAACATGTTTGACTTTGAGCTGAAGCACAAGAAGGGTTGCTACAATCGTGTAGCAGATGGCCGTTCTCGTAGGCCTGATGCTCTCTTTCTGATCTCCTTTACTCACTCTTTTGGAGAAAAGACTCCGAAGACCATAGCCCGCCTGCTGCCCCAGGATCTGATTTTTGGTCCCATAGTGAGGAATCTTTAGGATGATCCTGCCTCTAATTCAGGATATACTCTAGTTTCAGATCTGCTGTATACTTGCAGCAGAGGCAAGGAACGCCTGTGTATTCCCCAGGACCGCAAGCTGAGAACACTTCAGATGTCAGAGTGTTATGATGCTCATAGTCACTTTGGTGCCCTCAAATCATATGCAGCCTTGTCATAGCGCTTCTTCTGCAAGGAGATGAGGAGTGACATGTTGCACTATGTCGAAACCTGTGAGTTATGTCAGAGGAATAAGGTAGTACGTCGACCTCCCCTTGGCTTACTCAAACCACTCCCCATACCTGAAACACCTGCACAGTCAGTGTTTATTGACTTTACTGATCAGGGTAAGACCACACCCCGTGATATGCGTCCGATAATGGTACGTGTTGATCGGTTCTCCAAATATGCAGAGTTCATCCCCTTACCAAATGAGGCATGTGTGTCTGCCGTTCAGACGACTTTTGTTGACAGGTGGGTTATACGTCATGGACCACCCACCTCTGTAGTCACTGACCAAGATCCCAGATTTTGCAGCAGTGAATGACAATCCTACTGCAGGGATTACCTTCATTCTCGCCTGAACATGACATCTGGACGTCATTCTGAAGCTAATGGTCGGACTGGAGTGATGAACCATATTTTATTCCAGCTGCTGCATCCTGTGATCAGTCCAGACCACCAGGATTGGGATCTCCATTTAGGTCATGCACAACTTCTATATAACACCTTTGTACACTCCTCCACCGGCTTCACTCCCTACCGGCTACATTGGGGTTGTGAGCCACGACAGCTTCTCGATGACATCATCGATAAGGCTACCCCTACAGCTAATGTTGTTGTGCTGCGATAAACTGTGAAGAGCTGCGCTAATCCAGAAGAGCAACGCTAATCTGGAGCGCACTGTGAATCAATAAATCAAGCCATCAATAAATCAATCCATCAATCAATCAATTTGTGCATCTAACTAGTTGTTACCGACCCATGTGCTGGTTGTTTTCTAATCTGTTGCAGGTAATGGCAAATCTTTCACGACAGAGGCCCCTGACGTCAGCAGTATGCCATCCACGTGTGCACGCACTGTAGCTGCTATGTTTGCTGCAGACAACTGACGTCAATAACTGCTATTGCAGCTACGTTGCTGCAACACGTGGTAGTTGCAGCAGCAGCGAGTGCATCAGCAGCTAGCGGTTGTTGCAGTCCGGTGACGTCGGCAGCAGATCTGCCACGACATCAGCGGATGAATGACGTCAGCAGCAGACCGGCTGCAGCAGCAGCACGCGAGGCACGTTAACAACAGGCCCACCACGTGAACAGCAGCGAGTCAGCCAACTCCGCACGCATTGGTCCCGCTTGAACTGCAGGCACAAAACGTGCCGCTTTCAACAACAGAACCCCACCTCCGCCCCACGTGGTCCTTTTTTTTTTTTTTTTTTTTCTTACCACGTCATCAGTGGCCCTCCCACGTCTTATGCGGCAACAATTGCAGCGATTGTTGTAGCAAAAGTTGCAAGCAACAGTCGCAGCAGCAGGTGCCACATCAGCGACTGACGCAGCGGCAGGCCAAGCCACAAGCAACAGTCTTTGCTGCAGCAACAGTTGCAACTGCAGCTGCATCTGTTACAACATCTTTTGCAGCAACAGTTGTTGAAGCACTTGCAACAACAGTTGCAGCTGTGCAGTTGTGGCAATGGCAGGGCCATCTGCACCTGCAAGCGGGTTGTCGGGGGGTGCAATGGGAAGCGGGACAGAGGACTTCTGCGTGGACCCGAAACTCGTATGGAAGCCGAGAGACCACTGCGTGTGGAATTGGTTGGTGCACGGGAGGTCAAGGGGGGCGAAAAGTCATGGCGGGAGGGAGATGCAGTGCCTCTTGTGTGGAGTTGTGTTCCCTGGCAACCGCACACGCGAGATTGGACACTTCACGAAGAAGAGGCAAGGATCACGGTGCCCGAATGTAACCGTGGGGATCTACAAGAGGCTGCGTGCTGCGAATGTGGAGTTGTCACCTGACGTCGCTGAGATGTTGCAGCGGGAGGATGAGGCTGCAATACAAATAGTTCAAGATCCCCCTCTTCCTGCCATTTGTGGCGGTGATGATGTGGGAGGTGGAGCAAATGTGGAACAGGGTGGAGAGGCAGCGACAATCGCGGGCGCAACTGCAACGGAGGTCACAAGCAGACCGACACCTGCGAGGACACTAAGGCAGACGCCCATGGGTCGATATGTCCGCAATCCGCGCCAGCGGGAGATAGATTTGGCTGCCATGGACCTCTTCGCACAAAATGTCATACCGTTCAATATGGCGAAGAGCAGTAGTTGGAAGAAGTTTTGCGAAGCCTGCTTCGGGCCTCAGTCTGCAACTCGTTGTCCGTTGAAGCACGTCTCATATGACGCATTGCGGGAAGAACTCCTGGACTCTAGGAAGGAGACGTACTTGAAGCGAGAGGCTAAACTACGGGTTGACTGGGAGAAGACGGGATGTACACTCATCACATACGGCACCACAGACATATGTGGTCGCTTTATGCTGAACTACATCCTCGCGGGGAGAGACAGACCAGTTTTCATCAAGTGTGATCATGTGAAAAGAAAAGACAAGAACTATGCCGCAATGCTTGAGTCGTGGAAGAGCTTCCTGAGGGAGAACAAACATGTAACTGCCATTTGCACTGACTCCTTCTCATCCAACAAGGCAGTTGCTGAGGCGTTGGCCAAGGATCCAGAATTTTCTCATATCTACTGGATCCCATACACTGCATACTGCATGGACTTGTTCCTCCATGACCTGGGGAACATGAGATGGGCAAAAAATATTGTTGAGGATGCGAACGAAGTCGTCAAGTTCTTCAGGATTCACAGTGTGTCGCGGAAGATGCTTTATGGGAATGACAAGACTGTCCTTAAGAGGCCAAATGCAACAAGATTTGGGACCAACTTAATGACAAGACTGTCCTTAAGAGGCCAAATGCAACAAGATTTGGGACCAACTTTATCATGCTCGAGCGCGTGAAGGAAAAAGAGAAGCAAGTGAAAGACACGGTGAACAGCATGGAGTGGGAGGAGATGCAGTGCCCGTACGCCATTCGGGACAAGGCGTGTTTTGTCGAGAGGCTGGTGCAGTCCACGCATTTCTGGAATGATATTCGGATGGTGTTCGATTTGATGGAGGGGGCGTACTCGATATTGCGGATGGTTGATCGTGATGTGCACTGCATCTCACGTGTTTACGACGCAGCAGTGGCGTTGAAGAATTGTGTGCTTGCAGCTCCGTTGACGGAGGGACAGCGTGCTGAAGTGTTGGAGGTCGTGTCAAACAGGACGGACCAGCTCCTTAGTCCTGTGCACGCAGTTTCCAGACTGCTTGACCCCATGTTGCGCGACAGAGGAGTATTCAGCGATCCAACGTTGATGACCCAATTTCGGGGTGTTGTTGAGCATCTTGTGGGTGGTCGGGGGACACCGCAATACCAGGAGTGTATTGACTCCTTGTATGCATTCCAAAGGGAGCAAGGAATCTTCGGAGATCCAGAGGTGCAGCGTCATGGGAGGATGGACAGTGCATTGGATTGGTGGGAGGATCACGGGAGGGGACACCCAACTCTGCAACGATTGGCACTACGGATTCTCAGCATGTGGACAACCTCCTCCTCGGTTGAGAGGAATTGGAGCACATGGGCCCTCGTGCACACCAATGATCGCAACAAGCTGGAGCACGAGAGAGTGGAAAAATTGGTGTTACCTCCATTGGAACCTCCGATATGAAGGAAGGGTGCAGGGCACGACGACGAATAACAGTGGCTGGTTGGGCTTAACGAATATTGAGACGGATGCAGGCGATGTGGATGATGAAGTTGCTGCAACGAATGAATGCGCAGATGGAACAGTAACGGGGTCAGCAATTGGATTTACATCTGTGCCACGACCCACAGGTGGGGGCGGTGTGACATCTATAGCACAGAGAGGCAGGGTAGGGGAGTGGGAGGATGGAGATTGGAATGATGAGGAGTCATCATCTGAATCATTGGACGAGGAGGAGGAATTAGAAGACATGTGGAGGTCTGAGAAATCTGACTCAGACGACTCGTACACAAGGAGGGAGCACATTCTTCCATACAAGGGGAGCACACGCAGAAGCAGGCGATTGGAGGAGCAAGGGCAGAATTCGGCACAACAGCAATAACAGCAGGCAGGAGCGGCAACACCGACACTAGCAACAGTAAGAGCAGCAGCAACAACAGCCACACAACCACCAGTAACGGAAACAACAACAGCAGTTGCAACAGCTGCGGCAACAAGTGCAACTGCACCACCAGCAACAACAACAACAGCAGCAACAACAACAACAACAGCAATAGCAGCACCACCAGCAACAACAGCAACAGTCGGAACAACGACGACAAACACAACGGCACCAGCAACTGCAATAGTGGTGGCAACAGAAACAACAACAGCAACAACGGCAGCAACGGTAGTAACATTTGCAACAACAGCAGCACCACCATCCACGACAAAACCAGCAGCAGCAACAACATCAACCACAACAGCAGCAACAGGTCGAGCAACAACAACAGTAGCGGCAGCAACAACAACTGCAACAGCAACAACACCAACAGATGAGCAGCAGCAGCAACAACAACATCAACAGCAACGTCAGCAGCAGCACAAGCAACAACATCGCCAGTAGCAGCAAGATCAACAGCGACAACTGTTCGAGGAGCAGACCCATTTGTAGCAGGGGGCATACGAGCAAGAGCGGCGACCGTGCGAGCCGCAAGCCCTGCCACTTCAGGCGGGTGGCATCTTAGGCTTTTATGGTTCAAACCTCCCGAGTGCTATAGCAGACAGACCAATTCCAGAGGTGGAGGATCCCCAACGAACAAATGCTTTACGTCCCTGCTCCTCACAAGGCCTGTTGGGGAGAGCATCACACCCCAGCAGGTTGTGGAACCCTGTTGCTCACAGAACAGGGCGAGGCAGGGGTCGAGGTGGAGGTCGAGGCACGCCTGAAGTAGCTGCAGTTGCTGCAGGTTGCGGTGAAGAGCGAAAAAAGCGGGGGAGGCCAAAAGGGAGTGGGACCAAATACAAATCTGCCACCGCCTTAGCTCCCAGTACTGATCCAAATCCCGCAAGTGCACTGCTGCGGGACGAACGTGCAAAAGGCAAAGCCCCAGCGGTGGATGCCACGAAGGAGTACGACTCCGACGAGAACTTGCCACTGCATGAGCGTAAGCGCTTGCGTGTTGCGGCTGTTGCAGCAGAGAAGTGTGGTAGAGGGGCAGTGATCAAGGAGCGCCAGCAACAGTGATTGATACCGAGAGAGAGAGAGAGAGAGAGAGAGAGAGAGAGAGAGAGAGAGAGAGAGAGAGAGAGAGTTGGCTGGAGGGTTGGTTGGTGGGACGTTGGATTTTCATGCACTTTGTTAATCATCTAAGCGTTGGGCAATGACTCGTTTGATTTTGTTGTGTCAATAGGAAGCTTGCACTGCCTTTGGCTGCTGTTTGTCTGTGTGAGTGCTTCTGGTGAGGTGCATATGTGCGTATTTATGTGTGTGTATGTGTGTTCGCATATAGGGGCTGCCATTTCACCCTTCATAACGCAAACAATGCTGAGATAGTAGAACCTCTACCTGCCTTCCATGTCACCAGCAGGTAGAGGGTCTGCCATATCACCCTGCAGAGGTTGTATCGGGTCTGCCATGTCACCCTACAGATGTTATGTGGGGCTTGCCATGTTAGGTGACATGGTCGGCAGTAGGCGTCGAATGGCTGATCCAGAATCAATGTCCCCCTCTCTCATTCATACAAGAAATAACAGTATAATGTCGAATGGCTGATCCAGAATCAATGTGTCTTTTCGTGCAGAAAGAGTGTTTGTTCGTACAGTAGGTGTGTATGTCCAAAGGCAGTCAAAGAGTTAAGTTCCCAGTCCAGATTCGAGTCACGGGGAAAGTCCAGATTCAGATTGGAAGTCCAAAATTGAGTCCTGAAGGCCGCAGCAGCAGCAACCCCTGAAGGAAAAGAGTCTGGGACACATTCAAAGTAGATTATCATAGACAAGGAGTGTGCATGTGTAGAGAGAGAGAGAGAGGGACTACTACAGGGATCTAGAGAGAGAANAATCAAGAGGCAGCGCCCAGCTATTCATTCATTCCTGCGTAAGCCATGCGGAAGCGCTGTCATAGCGACTTGTGCGAGGTGGTCTGCAGTGAGCCAGAAGACGAAGTGGGCGAGAGGAGCTTAGCCATAAGGATAGGGTAGCAGCGGTCATAGCCGCCATAGCTGATGGGAGAGTGTAGCGTGTATGTGTGTGCGTGTGTGTACAGCATAATGCGTGTTGGATATCCAGGGTGATCCTGTGTGTGTGTGAACAGAGAGTTGTACAGGCGCTGTGCCGCCATAGCCATTTGAAGTGAACTTGTATCTGAACTGTGTTTTGGTTTACATATCTCTGAGTTCTGAGTGGGCGCTTGTCGCCAGCTTGCTGCGCAACCTGTTTACATGCATGAGAAGTGTGAATGAGAGCGAGTCTGATTGCACATCCCTCCCCTCAACACTATTTCGTACTTCACTCTGGACCTAAAAGTTCATTCATCAAATTTTTTATTTATGATTTTTAATTTATTTACTTTGGAAAATAAAATATGCTCCGAACTTATTCAGCAAAATGTCCTCCTCCGTCCTTTCTTCCCCTCCTCCCGCTTTCCTCCTCTTTTTTTTTTTTTCTTTTTTTTTTTAATGTCGACAGATCTCTCTATTGAGCATTTGTGACTCTGTGTTGTCATCATCCTCGTGGTGAGATGTCTTTTGTGGTCCTTTCTTGTTTCTGCAAGGAAAATGAGTGATAGCTTTCTGCTTTTGGTTCGAGGTCAAGACTATCTGGGCTCGTGTATATGATGCATGTTGATTGCTGAAGTTCGCTATTGCTCATCTTCCTTGCATGTGTGTTTCAGTTCTTGTTTGGACGGGTTATCACACTAAGGAGGCAGGCCCTCTATCTGCCTCGCATGTCATGTCAGCAGCTGGTAGAGGGTCTGCCACAGCAGCTCTCCGCACCCAACGCAACTCATTAAAACAACAACAAAAAAAAAAAAAACCGGCTACGTCTGACTAGCAGAAGCCGCAGAACAAACAAACTGCATGCAAAAAAATGAGGCCATCGCCCCATCCCAGACTGGACTGTGAGAAAACAGCAGCAGACACCCGAAGGCTGTTCACGGACATTTTTTTGCCATACCGCCCCCATAAACAAGTTTTTTCAAGCGGTTTTCAGGTTTTTGGACTTTACGGAGTCTACCGGAGATGCAAAAAAAAAAAAAAAAAAAAAAAAAAAAAAAAAAAAAAAAAAAAAAAAAAAAAACCGCGTACGGAACCCCTAGCGTACGAGTAGCGTACGAGTACGATTCGTACTCTCGTACACGTACGGAGGCTCGTACAAGTCGCAACGCAGGGCCATGGGAATGGAGGGCCATATTATTAGGCCACTACCCCCCGGTCCGGGGGACCAGATTTGAAGACCAATTGGGCAGGCGGACCGTTCTTTGGACTATTTGGTGGAAGAGATGCATTTTGGAAGTGGAACGGGCACGGGTGGAGGAAGGAGAAGTCATGGAACAGTTACGACTGCTCTTCCAACACGAAATTGCAGCTCAGTGGAAGACAGCCAGGAATAAGCTTGACCAACTGCACGCCCAAGGAGACATCACTCAGATTATCTCCCGATTTGGTCAAGACTGGCTGGGAGGGGAGAGAGAAGGGTGGGTGGCTAAGATAAGATGGTCTGGGGATTGCCAGTTGAATGAACAACCGCCTGAAGGACACCAGGCGGAGACTGCAAGAGACTATCAGCTGATCTTCCACGACTGGACCAATATAGACCCTGGTGAGAGGCTACGCCCTGCTCAAGAATTTGCGGAGCTCTTCCCCCCTCACCCCTTGGCCTTAGAAGAAATCTTTCCCCCTCCAGGAGGAGATCCCTAGAGTAGGCAGAGGGCGTTGGCCCCGGTTTTCAGCAGAGTTGGATTGGACACAGAGCGGCTAAGGGACGCTGGACCCGGTTTCCAGCAATCTTTGGGATTGAACACATTGATCAGGTATGGGACGCTGGACCCGGTTTCCAGCATTGTAGTGTTATTTTCATTGAGGACAGTGCGGCACAATTCTGTCTAGATTTGCATTACCTGGTTTCAGCTGAAAAGCAGTTACAATAGGTGCCTTATGCCAGCTGAGCTTTTCTCCAAACAATTGCTATTACAGACTCAGTGCTCCTCAGTAATTCTCAAAAAGAATTTAGCTGATTCCAGCTGATTTCACTGCAGCCTGTTTTCTGTTGCTTCAATGGGCGCCATGAGGATAGTGGGTGGATGGCAGAGGATAGGGGATGGAGGGAGACTCCACTGGTGCCCCCTGGTGGCCCCCGCCCAATACCCGACCCTGCTGCAGGTTAGGTATGGAAGAGCAGAGGGGATATGGGACGCTGGACCCGGTTTTCCAGCACTTTGGCGTCACTCTCATTGATGTATTTTGTGGCAAAGATGTATTTTTGGGACGCTGGACCCGGTTTCCAGCAGGTGTTGCTCCCTACCAATAGATGGAGCGGCCCGCTAGGCAAAGCCTCAATCCTGGTGGTTCTCTTACCACCACCAGGATAGAGGTCTTGCACAAGGGCCTTTCGAAAAAAAAARAAAAAAAAAAAAAAGAAAAGAAAAAAAAAGAATTCCGAGTGCCTTAGAGTGCGCGCTATGAATTTTGTTCGGCGGTTGGGAATTCCGGAATTTACAGGAGTCTTTTTCGTTGACGTGTCATTTCTGCCATTGAGAATTTCCTGTAC